GACAGATACGGCGCCTATTCGAGCGAAACCAGCGCCTGCTTTCCGCGCAATTCTTGAGAACCACAAAGAAAGAGACGGTTGCTTTTAAAAGTACTCTTTGCCGGATGAACAGAAGATGAATGCAATGACTTGGTCAGCATAGGCGCGATAAAAATTCTGTCCGTTGAGCCGAAGTTCTTTAAAAAGGTGAATATGGCTGGCAACTTACATTCGTGCATCAAAATTAACCCTCCCTCAACTTTTCGTTGAGTTTGAACCCTGGGGGCCTCTTGATATGAGCCCGGTCAACCGGGCTGGCTCGGTTTCCGAGATCTCGCCTCACCACTCTTTCCTTCGTAAAAATTTCGATGTGTTTATATGAGAGGCCGGGCTGGCCCGGTTACCGAGATCTCGGTTTTTGCAACCGAGATCTTGGTAACTGGGATGAAAATTTTCCCTTATAAACACTCCAGCTCGGGTGACCGAGACGAGACTTTTTCGACAAAATAGCTTCGCTTTCGCAACATACCGGCCAAAATGTACGTATTTCCACTTCAAAAGTATACGAATTAGTTTTATCAGTGAAGTTACAGGAGTTCACAAAACTACGACAGTCGCGAACGATACAAGTATATACCATTTTGGTTGTGTTTCCTGAATTTCATCCCGGTCGACCGAGCTGAAATTTCCAATATGAACTGACCACAAAATCCGTCCTGGTAACCGAGCCAGCCCGGTTGCCGGGCTCCTATGAAGAGGTCCTTAAAACAAGCCTTTCGTTCGGTGAACCGGATACCAGCCTCACCAAGTCTCGACGTCGTAATATCTTAGTCGCAAGATTAAGTGTACAGGCTTACGATACATGCATTAGCCAACGGCTATTAAATTTCTAGGAACATTTTTNAGGCGCGATAAAAATTCTGTCCGTTGAGCCGAAGTTCTTTAAAAAGGTGAATATGGCTGGCAACTTACATTCGTGCATCAAAATTAACCCTCCCTCAACTTTTCGTTGAGTTTGAACCCTGGGGGCCTCTTGATATGAGCCCGGTCAACCGGGCTGGCTCGGTTTCCGAGATCTCGCCTCACCCTGCACTCTTTCCTTCGTAAAAATTTCGATGTGTTTATATGAGAGGCCGGGCTGGCCCGGTTACCGAGGAGATCCTGGTATCCGGGATGAACATTTCCCCTTATAAACACTCCAGCTCGGGTGACCGAGACGAGACTTTTTCGACAAAATGGCTTCGCTTTCGCAACATACCGGCCAAAATGTATGTATTTCCACTTCAAAATTATACGAATAAGTTTTATTAGTGAAGTTACAAGAGTCCACAAAACTACGACAGTCACGAACGATACAAGTATATACCATTTTAGTTGTGTTTCCTGAATTTCATCCCGGTCGACCGGGCTGAAATTTTCAATATGAACTGACCACTATGGTTAGCCAAATGTTGCAAAATTCAACAACTTGGACCTTCATATTCAACAACTTATATTTATG